CCGCCGGAGCTGTGGAGAGTTGGACGAGGTCGGTAGAAGGCATGGATGGCAGAGAGATGGGTGGTACTGGGAACGTGTTGGGGGAGAGATAAGACGTGGATAATCCTCAACAGTTGCTGTGAGATATGAATCTGCACCCAATCTGCACCACGGGCGTCTGACGTTCAGAATTGGGAAGCCAGTCGCGTGCATCTTCGGCGGCTGTCTCCGCTAGGCACGTGATCCTCATCGCACCTTTTCTATTTTGCTTCCGTCAAACTCAAACACGCAAACTCCCCAAAGTCAAACTATGGACAAGGCGCCGAGGATTCACGGGGGGGCGTTCCGCCCCCTTGTTCTTTCTGCGGGAGGGATGATGAGTGAGGAAACGGCGGTGGAGTGGAGGAGTTGGAGGAAGGCGATGGAGAAGGAGGTTTGGCTTGGGTTGCAGAGTCGGGTGGGGGTCGAGTTGGTGAAGGCGAGGGCGAGGACGATGTGGATGTGAGAGAGTAGATAGAGGCGAGGAAGGTTTTTTACCGACTTGGCGAGTATGGCCGTCTTGTCTTTTTCCTTCTGTCCGACGTCGCCTTACATAGAGCCTAAGTACATAGCACCAATAAGACTTACAATCTCTATGTAACTCTCTTCACACTAGTAACTAGTACATACACGGTAATCTGGCTCGACACAAGCCCTTCACGCCCCGCCCCCCCCCCCCGGTTGACTTCTTGCTATTTTTCAGTTTCATGACCATGCGATGCTGAAGAATTTGCCCAATCGCGTTCGCCAATGGAAGGAATACATACGTACTGTACTCGTATGCCGTACTCGCATACTGGCAACTACTGTACATTTGCAGAGCTACCTGGCTCACCGTTCTTCATACTTGCTACAGCTTTCATGGCGTCGTAAATCTTGAGATACCATAGTCCCTTCCCCCCCCCCCCCTCTTCTCGCGCTAGGTATTGGTGTCTCTCGTGTTAGACGTCACCGCCCGCTCCTGCTTTGGCATATCCGTATTCTTCTTTTTTTGCCATGGCGCCCATGGTCTCCAATAGCTCCTTGACATGCCGGTGATCCTTCTGAGCCACCTGGATGCACATTTCGACCTCTCTCACCAGTTCCTCGCCCACTTCACCAGCCTCGCGTCTCTTCCTCTCAGCCTCGGCCATGCTGTCGAGGACGGATGTCCCGACTTCGGCAACGCTCAATGCTCCCGCTGCTCCCTGGGTTGCTTGTGCTCCAGCTCGTCGGGTATAAGTGTCACTCACAGATGCACCAGACATCCATCCATCCTCTGTTTGTTCCAGCAACTCTTCCTCATCTTCACTTTCGTAGGCAGTCGTTGAGAATGAGGGTGGGGGAAAAAATCTTGTGAAGGCTGTGGAAGGGAATAGGGGCTTGTAGCGAATAACGGTGGGGATGTCGTCGTCTGTACTTTGTAATGCACATGACAAGAAGATTCGAAATTCCTCCTAAAGTAGTCTGGAGCGTGTGTAAGTTTTGATTACATAATATCCGGGAAGAGGTGACTGGACAGGATGCAATGATGCAACAAGCAATGCCATGAAGTCACATGATGCGGAGGGAACCGACAAAGATAGGTGGGGGGCGGCTACTTATTCACACATCCCATCCTCTTCTTCATGAACACTACTCGCACACTCACCAGCATGTCTGTCGACACCATATCTCACTCACTCGCCCACACAACCCTCTCCGATGCCAAGGGACCCTCATTCGCTTCCTGCGCTACGAGCCACGAGAAGAGCCTATTCATGCAAGCCTACGACGAAGCATGCAAGAAGGCATTAGACGAGTTTGACGAAGAGAAACGTCTGGATCTCGAGGAAGTCCTGGAGATGCTGAAAGAATACGCCGATTTGAAGGAAAGAGAGAGGACCAAGCAGGTCATAGAGGAGCAGATTGCTGAGGACAAGGCGGAGCTCGTTGAGTCTCTGGAACAAAACCGTCTTCACATTTTACGCACTGGTGGGTTCCCTTATTTTGTCCAATTGAAGATAAATCTCTGATATCAGGTACTAGATGAACCATGGAAAGAGATGGTGATGTGGCGATAGCAATGAAACCGAGGCCATTGACAACGCAAGCAGCAGTGGAACAGAGCCGATCGTTGTAAAAACTGTGTATATGCAAGGATGTATGTGTATTAGGCAAAGTCACATCGCACTTGAAGCTTCAATGAAGAATGAAGCAAAAGTTATGATGACTGTACGGTAGCCTTTCACTCACTGACCAATAGCGCCGTCCAGACTTGAGGATCAACGGCCACAGCCAAAGTGAGACATACGGCTACTGTCTTTGAGAGTCTCCATGCGCTACACTCCGAAAGGCTTTACCCAATCCCTGGCCCCGGAACGAAACACGCGGGCGGAACGAAACACGCGGGCGGAACGAAACACGCGGGCGGAACGAAACATATAATGCTCGGTCGGCACTCTCAAGACGATTTCTCCACAGCGTGTCCGATCGAGACCCAGGAGCGGTGACAATCAGGAATCGTCTAGTAAAAGACAGAGAAGGGCCGATGTCTCTGCAGTGTCTCTGGTGAGTTCTCGGCTTCGTCTCGATGGTGCTCTAGTCTAACTTGAATCTAGGACCGACCGAGTACTTGCCCCCACTCCTGAAATACTCGCTCCATCTCCCTCAACACCCTCGCCGTCTTCCTTTTCAACAATATCCTCATGTTTCGAAACTGAACATCCAGTCAGTGTGAAGGAGTTCTACCAATCGTACATTCATCGATACGGCCATCCCTGACAATCCTATATCGTTTACCGCTGACAAGCAAGTCCATCCTCTCCAATACCGGACCCACGGAGACTACATCTACCACTTTTCAGAGCTTGGCGTCACCTTCGTGCTGGCCACGCCCACGGAAGTAAATGTTTTGCTGGCGCGAGCGGCCAAATTTGGCTGTGTGGGGCGCTGGGAAGCGGGTAGTTGTCGGGAATGGGAGAGCTGGGCGCTGGCGGTTTAGTGTCATGTGATTTATGGACATTCATTTCTAATATCATATAACCTATGGACATTCCTTCACTCATGGATATCAGGCTTGTCCAATTGCAGCGTGGACGTGGCGTAGAAGGACCGTGCGCGTGGGTTCAGGGTCGGCCTCAGGCGCCTTGAGTGTTTTACTATGGTGTCGGGGTCTATGGAGTCTGACCACAGATGCGCTCGAGAAGCAGTAGCCAGCTTGTGAACATAATGGAAGAAAGAGTGGAGAAGCCAAGTCTGCACGAATCGTTTTCATGGTCGTTATGCGGATCCCTCCACAAGTCTGTACCTCTGTCGGCCTACTTGCCCTCCCCCGCCCCTTCAGCACTAGTTCCTTTTGTAGAACCCCCAGCAGCACTACCCCCCATCTTGCTTCTGTTCGCCAGCAAGAACTGGAACTGCCAAGTCTGTCAGCTAGACGTTTCGGTACGTCGGCGTGGGACTTACAAAATTGTGCAACGCTTCGTTAGGCATCGCAGGTGCCAGCGTCCCCGGCGCAGCCTTCCCATCCTTCTTCCCCAGCCTCGCAAACTTGTCCTTCAACTTTCATTCCTTCCCATCATCTCCCTCCCCAATCCGAACTTCCATCTCCTGCATTACCTTCTCAACACCAGGCAGGCTTGCAAGCTCAAACCCTCGGCAGCACCGCCCATAGGCCCCACAGCAGTATTGTTGAATCCACCCGCGCCGGGGTTGGTAGCAGAGGGAACGTTGGAGGGTGAGATGGCGGAAGGGGCGTGGCGGAAATATTGGTGGGAATCTCGGTTGGGGTCTTTCATAAGGAGGTCGAGTAGACGGGAAAAGAAGTTCTGGGAGGGCTCGGTGACTGTTGTAAGGTTGGAAGGAGATTGCGGGGGAGGAGACGCGAAGGAGGGGAGAAGCACCTGCAAGAACTCTTCGAAAGGTTCTCCATCATCCTCTTCAGGCTCTTGACCCGCAGACTTGGGAATATACCTACTCAAGCTGACGTTTCAACCCTTCTCCACCAGTGCGGGGTTGAAACCATCTCTCAAAACATTGATCTCGCCCCAACTATCCCATCCGCTGGGGTACCATGACAGCAACTCTGTCAAGCACGTTGGCTCGGTGGTTGAAGGGGAATTTGGTGCAGCCGATGATGGCGGGTGCCGATACGGTGTTTGGGGAGGTTGGTGGCAGATTCAGTAGAGGCGGGACGGTATACAGTCTATGGAGGAGATAGCTCTTCAGGAGAGCGTATGTCGTAGGCTGGGTAGGGGCAGTATCGAACAGAGCGGCGCCATCTAATTCGATGATCAGTACGATAGTCAATGGAGATGGGGTGAACATACAGGCCAAACAGACAGTTCTCAGTGCCTGCTGTGCTCGATCTGTCTTTTCTTTCCAGCCTCAACCATTCACTTCCACATCCTCGGCAGCATTATCCATGAGGTCGGTCTTCGCGCAAACCTCAACGATAGGAATTCCCGGGCTGTGATATTGTCAGTGTGCTTCGAACGCGTGACGTTGGGAAAGAACGAACGCGTTGAAGTACCAGAGCCAAGTGGTAACAGAAGCCCAACAACAGCATACGTGGTTGTACCAACAATGGCGGGTGACAGCTCGGTATAGTGCTGCAAGTGTGATTGCACTACTCGTTGTCAGTCTTGATGCTTTGTTGTTTCGAGATGGGGCTGACTCACGTCGCTCATCTACCTCACCCCTCTCGCCTGCCTCGGATGCCCATGTCTTTACCCATGAGAGCCATGTTCACAGCTGTTGGAGCAGCCCATGTATGCAATTAGCCTACAGCATCATCCGTGAAGAGGTCAAGCTCACCATTGACTGTGGTTTCGTCCAAACCAGGACTATGACGACGGCAGTATCCTGTACACCAATGAGTCAGCGCCTGAACACGTTTGTACGAGGGGAAAACCAACCGAGAGAGACTTTGCGGGCAAAGCACTGGGGACGAGCCTGAGCAGGCTTCGGATGCGACGAAGGAGGATAGGAAAGCGAGAGCGGCGGCGCCGAATCTACAATCTGTCAGCGACCAATCCACCATGCAAATTGAAAAGAGCTCACCCTCATCCTCCCCAGCTTCAATCACTTCGTATACCAGGGCAAGACCCTTCCTGCTCCTTCTCTCTTGTCCGGCCTGGGCAGCTCCGGCAGCATGGGTTTGCGGTTGCGATGGTTTGGCCAGCTTCTTTTTCCGAGAACAGGCGGTCAGCTGGGAGAGGAGGTGTGTTCTTCCGTGATTCCTTTCTGCTGATAGTCTCAAGTCAGGAGAGGAGCAAATAGGAGGGCGATCAGTCAATACTTGCTGTGATGAGGAACGAATGGTCGTTGAATGGTCGACATGTCAGTCTTGTCAGGTGTCAGTCTCTTGCGTTGCTCTTGCGGTCGGTCTTCGCCGAGACCGGTGGCATTTATCTTCCATCGTCATTACTTCATTCCTGCATACGTATCATCCTGCACCAATCCTGCACTCCTTTTCCAGTCGCCATTCTCTTTTATCTATACATACACATGTCCAGACAAGCCGACATGGTAAGTCTCATCTACTCCCAGCTACTCGCTGAGCACTCGCGCTGACCGACGCCCCATAATAGAGCCTTCAAGTCTTCAATCATGTGGAGGCCTATCGATAAACAGATTCCATCAGGGCCCATGATGCCTGCTGAATATGATTCATACCGCCAAATATGGGGGCCTATGGTGACTGAGGTACGTGAGTAAAGCGGCGTGTGGTGCCGGCTGACATTCCATGTTGCAGCAACTTGGAAACTCGTAAGTCATAACACCACCAACACTATCCTTCACCCGTCCTCTATTTATCACTCTCGAAGCGGCCGCCATTGAGATGCCCTATGACCGGAATGTCTGAATACGGAAGCCGACTTTGGCAACAAGGCGAGACAAGGTAGAATTGACGTAGTTACAGGTACTTCGCGCCTACCTAGCTGCTATTGACGCGTTTGTCCTCTTCCAGGCCGGATAGACGAGATCGATCGCAGCCATGGGTGAGTTCTCCTACTTTCTGCTCTGTCTTGTATGCCAATGTCTGACCAGTTTTTGAGAGTGGATAAGCGCGCGAGACTCCGAGGGTGACTGGGGAGAATTCTTGCGGAGCTGATCACTCGTCTTAAATGTCTGGGTGCGTTGTCTCTTCAATTGTTACTGCTTTCTTTGCTCAAAAATATGGCATAGACGTGTCTATTGTTGAACGGAGCTCGACTTCCTCCTCTTTATAACGCACTACGCCAGCCAGGATCTGACATGGTTGTGTCGCGGTTTTGATCTATCAGCGATACCTACCGAACGAAGGAGGGAAATTATGCTCTGCTCCTGAAAGTCTCTATGGCTCTTTACCATAGTACGTACTCTGTTTGGCCCCGTTCCCACTTGATTCTTGGGCTGGCCATCCACACCTGGTAAGACGGACGGTAACGCTTCTTCTAGGTCGAATCGATCCTTTAGCACATAACGGTGATCGCGCGAGGTATTGGCCGATCTCCGCTGGTGGACTGACACTCTTCCCTCGTGGCCCGGGACCCTTTACTTGCAGCCCTCGCGCGCTCGGCGCCGACGAACATTCTGGCCCCGCCGGTCGCGCTGTCGAAGTTTTCTACCGAGCACCGCCCATCGACTGTCCGTTCCTACGTCGCGGGCGTACCCGCCTATCCTGTCAACTTCGGCTTCCCCCACGGGGGCTTCAACGACCCCCTCTTTACCCGCATCGTTCGGGGTCACCACAACACCGGCCCAGCAAAAGATTCTCCTGCTCGTCACCTCTGTCAACTCGTTCACCCAGCGCGTGCTTTTCTACCTGACGCACGAGAGGCCGTTGCTCCAGTCTGCCAAGCGAAGACCGGACTGGGAGAAGCATACCGCTGAAGATGTGCTGAGGATCCTCAACGCTAGCGACTCTCAGCCGGGCGCTATGCTGCACCCTCTTACGTCTGACGCCAAGGCATCCCTCTTTGCGTATGGCGCCCATCTCCACAAGTCGGCCGTCACCCTCCCCCCGCCGCTCTTTACTGCCTTCGGCTTTACTTCATTCAAACAAGTACCCGCGGGAACGCCCATCGCCACAAGACTCGGTGCCGTCCTGTTCAAAACTGCCCAAACGCCCACTTCGTCCGCTGCCATCTGTATCACCCACGGCCGTGTACCCCGGGGCAAAGACAAGCTCATCGACCCCAAGATTCCCATGGCCAATACTATCAAGCTCGCGGGGCACGGCGAGATCCTGGACAATGTGCAAGGGTGGACGCAAGAGACGTAGGAAGAGAGGGAGGGTGAGTGGCAGAAGGTGTTTGTGAGGACTGTCAAGCAGGGTGATGGTATCGCCTAGTTGTCTACTGGAGCTTCTAGTATGTTCATTCGTTTCTGAGTGTGGAGTGGAAGCTGACACGATATAGCAATGGAGCATGCACGACTCAAAACTGCCGCACCCTCCTCTCAGCCCTCCAATGGGCCGCCGATCCCTCCTGCGGGGATGTCAAGGTGCTCGCCTTCATCACGGGCGACGGCTACGTTTCCAACGGTATCGCCTTCAACCCCATCGAATACGCCTCCTCCCCTGGCCAAGAGACCTGGGACAATATCTGCGCCATCGACGATAGGTTGGTGGCGCAAGAGTTGAAAACAAAGTGTGAGGTGGCGTTGGGAAGAGTGTTTGCAGAGGTTGCCGGGGTTGAAGACCAAGAAGGGGGCGGTGGATATGGCTGGAAAGGCGTGGGAGAAGAAGGCCGAGGGAAATCGGCTAGGGGGGACAAGGGGTACGATATAGCAATGGAGCATTCACGACTCAAATCTGCCGCACCCTCCTCTCAGCCCTCCAATGGGCCGCCGACCCCTCCCGCGGGGATGTCAAGGTACTCGCCCTCATGGGCGGCGGCTACCTTCCCACCGTTATCGCCCTCAACACCATCGGACTCGCTTCCTCCCCGGCCAAGAGACCTGGCACAATATCTGCCTCATCGACGATATCGTCTCTTTCCTCTGCTCCGACGTTTCCGACGAGCAGCCGCTTTCATGCAGGGCCAGGGCAAGGCGTTGAGTGAGAGGGGCATTGTGACGGTAGCGTGTGTGAGGTGGAACACGGCTGCTGGTGGTGTGGCGCTCGCTACGGCTTGTGATGTCGTCCTCGCCGGCCGGGGGGTGGGTTTGAACCCTTCTTCCAGGGGTATGGGTCTGCATGGAAGTGAACTTCACTCGTACGTCCTCTCTTTGTCTCTGGAGTGCCAAAGCTGATATGGGATAGGTTCTCGTATTTGCACCGATGTGGACCTGTCCATGCGGCCGAGATCTTGCGCGAAATGAAGCCTCTAACACATCGCTCGCTCTCTCCTATGGCCCCGTAGACGCGAGATTGACTCCGGCGGGTCGTCCGCCCTCTCTTCCGAGGACATCTTCATCTTCGCCATCCAAACCATCCTCTCATCTTCATCGACCTACCAACCCCGAGAGGTTGACCGACGACAAGCCTCTCGTCGCCGCCATGGCCGAGGCCAGAATCCGCTCCTTTACCACCACTCCCACCTTCCCCTCCCTTGCACCACTTGCGAAAAGAAGAGCTCTCCCAAATGCTGCTCGACTCGTTCTACCCGATCCGGTCGGAGAGGTATCACATCTGCAGATACAAGTTTGTGCGCAAGTCGGAAGCTGGCTCTACGCCTGCGCGGTATGCGGTGCATGAGGAGGAGAGGAGGCAGGATGAAGGAGACAAGGCCGAGTTTGATGATGCGCCTGGATGGGTGAGGGGTGAAGAGTGGGCTCAGGGGGGTTGGAGACGCCTGTGTCGCTCAAGACGTTGGAAGTCCTCAGGATCCCGCTGCACCCTTCCTCAGCGACCTTTGTGCCCGTGAAGAGGATGTATTGGGGAGTGTGGGTGGTCTAGACGGGAAGGAGAGGAATTGTAATATCATCACGGGCGAAGAGTGGAGGATCGTCGACCCCGATTCGGGGTTGTTGAGCTGTACGGTCGAGATTCTGCCTCTCGGCGGTCTCGACGGCGAACCGTTCAACGTGGTGGTCATTGATGAGATGCAGATGCTCGGCGATGAGAACCGCGGCGGATCTTGGGCCAAAGCGATCCTGGGTACGGCGGCAAAGGATATTCATTTGTATGGAGATGAAACGACCGTGGAGCTGCTTCGCGGTATGATCACCTCCCTCGGCGATACCCTCGCCATCCACGAATACAACCACCTCACCCCCCTCCTCGTCGGCGACGCATCCATCGAAAATGAATATAGCAAGATCGAAGATGGGGACTGTGTCGTCACGTTCTCGAGGTCGTGTATATTCAATTTGGAGAGGGTGATTGAGAGTCAGGGGAAAAAGTGTGCGGTGGTGTATGGGGCGTTGTCGCCAGAAACGCGGGCGGAGCAGGCAAAGGGTTTCACTGATGAGAATGGGTTGTGCAAGGTTCTGGTGGATAGTGATGCCGTCGGGAAGGGGCTCAATTTGTCAGTCCTCCCCTCATACTCGATATCTTCCTAACACCTCTACAGGAAGATCAAGATAATCATATTCAAAGCCCTCTCCAAATTCGACGGCAAAGAACAAGTCCCCCTATCCCTTATGCTAAGTCAAGCAAAGCGCCGGCCGCGCCGGCCGATTCAAGACTGGCGCCGACAAGAACATTGCAACCCTCGACGAAGCGCCCTTTTCCAGCGGCTACGCTACCACCTTCAAACCCGCTGACCTCCCCGTCCTGCGCAAAATGCTGGACTGGAAACTCCCTCCCATCGCGAGGGCCAAGATGGATATCCCTACTATCAGCCTTATCGAGCTCGCTGCCCTCCTCACCTCTAGTCTGACATACGGCGACTTGGTGAAACACTGTTCCACCCTCGCCAAGCTTCCTCCTTCTATCGCCGTGACCGACCCATTCAACAAGCTCGCTATCGCCGACGTCATCAAGACGTACCGTCTATCCTTGTCTATCAGCTAGATCGACCTCTTTTCGTTCGCGCCCCTGAGCTCGAGGGATGAAAAGGCGAAAGAGGTGGCCAGGAATTTGGTGGATGATTATGTTACGCTGGGGCGCGTGACGGTAGAGCCTGTATACCCTACCACCGACCTCTTCCAACGCTTGACGACGTCCTCGAAACGATCCAAACCCTGAGCTGCCACCCTTATCCGAACGAGTTGTTCCAGGGCTCCTCATAAAAAAAAAAAAAGTTTCACCCCTCGTCATCAACGCACTCCCCAAACTCGGAACTCTCCTCAAATCGCTTGTCCTCTACATCTGGCCTAGTCTCCGCCTCGAAGTGTCTTTCCCAGATAGGTCAGTGGCGCAAGAGTTGAAGATAAAGTGTTGGGGGCCTTGGAACAATGTTTGCTGAGGTTGCCGGGGTTGAAGACGAAGAAGGGGGCGGTGTATATGGCTGGAAAGGCGTGGGAGAAGAAGGCCGAGGAAGATCGGCTAAGGGTGGGGTAAGGGGTGGAGTGGGTGAGCGGGGCGAATAACTAGAAGACAAAGAAGGCGAGGATCTGGAAGGATGTGGCGCGTTTAGAGGGAGGGGAGGGGGTCAAGAAGAGGTTGGATTCTGCAAAGTAGGCTGTGGCATCTCACGAGAGGCAAGAGGCAAAGGCAAGAGGGTATAGATTAGCAGTAGCATGGGCATCGCACTCTTCCTTGGTATAATTCTAAAAATGCACACTTCAGAATCGTAGATGAGTAGTCGTTCAGTGGTGCAATGTCTTTCGGGCTTGTCTCTGGGGGCTACCCATTGCACATCGACTTGATGGAGGATGTTGGGGGGGCAGCCGCCGGAGAGGCTGAGCTGCGGGATCTGCCTTTGGAGGATAGGTGAGTGTCCTTCGGCAGCTACAATGGTCTTGTGCTGATTACATTCTCAGACAGGCTATCCGAGACCTCTACCATCAAATTCATGCGGTGCGCATTCTTCACTGTGACGTAGAGCCACGCCACATACTCCGACGCGCCGACGGCCGCTTTGCCCTCATCGACTTCGACGCCTCTTTCTTGGTGGAGGACGGGGTTGAGGGCGACCGAGAGCTCGCGTCTGAGTGGCGCCGGGTAGCGGCTATGCTTGGGTTGAAAGATCCGCTTGGGTTGAAAGATCCTGCTGCTCGCAGAACCCAAGATGAAACAAGAACTTTTCAACTTTGAAGGCGTCGAACTGATGGTCATGATGATGAAGTACGTCCCCTATCCCCTCACCATCACCACTTTGAACGTGGATGTAGGGAAAAACGCCTCGCCCGATCACGCGCTATCAAATTGCTCGACTACGCCCTCCAATCACCCACCGGCGCCCCCTCCTGCATCTGCTTCATCATCGTTACCTTCTTCTCCGCCTTCATGGGCAAATACACGCACAAATCCAAAAATCGGCACCTCCAGACCAGCCAGGTGAAGATGAAAAGCACTTGTTGGGTATCTTGGGCGGTCTGTTCACGTATGAGGAGAGTCATTCGCCAGAGAGGATCAGGCTGATAACCAAATTTGTCGAGGAAGGGTATGCAAAGGTGGAGAGGCTGCTTGGACTGCGCGAAGCTGCCGAAAGCAGGCTCTCGCCCGTCAAGCAAAATATCGACAACGAAAAAAAGACTCTGAGAGCGGAAGGCGCGGGAGAAGAGGAGATTGAAGAGATGGAGGTGGAGTGGTATTTGAGAAAGATGGATGCGGGGCTGGCGAGTTTGCAGAATACAAATTATGTGATTGCATGGGTATGATGGGGTGAGTGTTTTCTTTCTGTCTGACGGGCGAAAGCTGGCTACGATGAAGGCAATGACGCACGCAAGACTGTTCCTCTGGAGGAAGGGCATGAACTTCATGAACGTCTCATCAGTCTTGCGAGGTACATCTTGAATCACTCCCTCGTTGATCTTAGCTAAAAGACATTCCCACAAAACTCAAAGACAAGGTGCACTCGAAATTCCAGTTGACCAGAGTAGGCTGTCGTCCGGTGTAAGAGGGCTCGTTTCGGTTGTAGGACATGAAGATCTGGTCGCCGGCGGATATGTGTTTGCTGGCTTTAAGGATCATCATCTACGTTCTCGTTAGCCGCACATTGGCAAAGGCTTGGAGAAGGACTCACGTTGCCATACCAACAACGAAGATCCCGATGCGAGGGCTACTCGCCGGGGAAGTTGAACCGGGTCTTCTCCAAATTGTCGGTCAGCAGCGGGATAAACTGGAAAGAGTGGGTCTCGCGGAACGCAAGGGAGGAGTGGTAGTGAGGGATGTATATGTGATCATAAGTCAGCGCGTGCTCAGATAGAGCAGACAGGTGCTTACTCCAATGGATTCAACCTCTTCTCGAACCTCTTGGAAGAATAGTCGTTGAGGAGCACCGCCTAGACGTGTCTGCAAGGCAAATTCCATTGCCTGGGCTCTCCGCAGCTGCAGGACGTAGTAGCCAACGACCCCATCTCCTCCGGACTGAATACCCCCGTTTCCGCTGGCAACTCCAGTCTCGCAATCCTCTCATCCGCGATCTATCTCATCCATCCCATTCATGGCCCAACAAGAACCTCTGCTCGTCGAACTCCTCTTCATGGGCTCCCCCGATACTCCTCCCTGCGCGGCCGGTCACCAGCACTCTGTAATACTTCGCCTTGCACTGCTCCGCCGCCACCTTGCGGAAGACGTGTTGGATAAGATCACGTTCGACGAGCCGGGGCTTGACCACAAGCAGATCATGCCTGTCCCGGAAACTCGCGCTGAGGTGATCGTAGATGGTGGAGAAGAGAGTGATAATGTCGCCTCCTCGGGCAACCAGCAACCAGTCGTTGAGCTGCTCGACGGTGTTGCTGGACACGAGACCGAAACGTGCGATGCGTAAAGCGTGGCAAGCGTAGAGCGCGGTGTCGTTAGTGTCGATGTAATTGCGAGCAGGTTCGGCAAGCTCGGCCCTGTGCCGCTGGAACTCCTCTGGCGTCTTCGCCCAGATCATCTTCTTGAAGATCTTCACCGTTAAGGATCAGATGGACAGCGCAGTGGCTGGGTGTCACGAGCGGGAGGACATTGGAGATAGCAGGGACGAGAACCTAATGGCAGAAATTATGAGCGCTTTGCCCCATCGTCTGTTCAAGTCGCTCATGATCACCATACCTTGCCGTCCAGCCCAGGGTAGCAGTCGCTCAAACGGCTCAAGTGATGTGGTATAGTGACGTGGTATCCGCACGCAGCACTGACCTCGCTGCCACAGCGGTTCCATGTTCTGGAGGTGTATTCGGTGAGTGGAGAAGAGAAGTGAGGGATGGGCGATGAGGGTGAGAGTAGATGTTACGGCGAGATGCAAAGTGTACGGCGGGGTTCTTGTTGTTGCCGGTGGAGCTCATATTCGCTGAGGCAGCTCAAGATGAGGCGGAGCGAGCTTGGCGTCCCGAAGGACGGGGCGCACCCAGAAACCTGCTCGATATGAAGCTTTTCAAAACGCTATGGGAGGACTGATTTCCCTATTACAGTCTCGCGATCTTCCTGAGGTTATCAAGGAAAACCATGTTGGCGGCGAATTGGGCTCGCTGCGTTGGGACCTGTCGAGTGTCAGTACCTCTGATGATGTGATGTGAACGCGGACGAGTGCGTGCCGCATAGTCGGCTTCGGACATGGTTGGATAGGCATAGAGCTGAGAGTTATCCAAGTTGTAGATGAGAGGAGTAGGTATTCGCGAAGGGCTGGTGGCTTATGTAACGTGCTGCAAACAATAGCGACATGGCCGCAACTGAGGAGGAGGACGCCTTGAGACAATGGACAATGGAGAAAATGGCAGACAATTGACCGAGATGGAAACGATAGAGCAATGAAGAGGGAGCGGAAAGGGCGGTTTCAGAGTCCACAGGCGGTTCGTTATGTATGTACAGTACTCGTACACCTCATGTAGTCGTGATAATGGTCGATATATCATGAACAATCTACGCCAGCTGTATCCCCCGGCCCGCCCAAGGGTCGACAGATATCTCTGCCGTGCACGAGATTGTGCTTTTCTCGCAGCACGATCTGTCAACCCAAGGATGGCCGCTACGCGGCCGCCCCTCATACCCGAGCTCTCAGTCGCCCTCGGGACCGTCCTCCACCAAGCGAGAATGTGGTGATCAGGCCTGCTCCTCTGGGGGGACAGCTGAAGTTATCACCAAGTGTAGTTGCGGGTTGAGTCCAAGTACTTGAAGAGTAAGACACGGATGTGCTCGGATGGGGTCTTGAGAGGAAGTGTAGAGGTAAAGGAAGAAGAGGAGGGGAGAGAAGAGAGTCAAAGAAGTGTATGAGGTCTCTGTCCCCACACCCAGCCTTTCTTGTATACATGAATAAGTGACAGGGCGATAGACGGGGCGACTACGTGATACATCTACGACACGAAGCGAATAAGGGTACAAGTCGACCAGCGAAGCGTACGAAAAGGCTAAAGAGAATAAGAAGGAGCAGACGGGTGGAAGAAGGTCAGGGTAGCGAATATGGGCGTATCGACCTACGTCGGACAGCATTACTAGTAGGAAGGAAGAGGACGAGAACGAGCAACGAAAGCGAAGACGAAGCGAAGGCGGAGACGAGCAAGGGTAAAAGAGTCCATGGGGTGTGCAGGCGCCTAGCACGCTACAAACGCCTTCATTAAAAGACAGCCACATACCTCTCTCGCCTTCACCCCCTGCGCCGAGCACATGTATCTCCTTCCCAACCTATTATAAACCATCCTCAGCTCCACTTTCGTAACCTCCCTCCTCCCCCTCGCATACGTCCTCTCCACCTCTCGTACCACCCCTTCCAGCCCCATCGCCTTCCGCGCGTGCACCACCATCATCTCAGGAGGCACCTCAACGCCCAATTTGCTCAACTTGACCGGAAAGGCGGAAAGCAAGCCGCCGGCGTGAGAATCGATGATCCGCGACCTTGTGGAGCAATCTTCGTCCGGGTGGGTATCGGCTTGACAGACGATACATGCGCAATTGAAGTTCCAGTTGAACAGGATCAAGTGTCGTTAGGGACAAGCTGCGAAACCTGGTGCGTAGCTCACGAGTAGCTCATTGCCTTTGGCGATATGTCGACTGGCACGCATCACCATCACCTACACTCTGATCAGCCTTGCTCAGCCAGACTGTGTTGGGGGGAAGGAGAGACGTACATCACCAAACGAACACTCCGTCATATTCCCCCACCACGAATGATTCAACATCGCCGGCATCCCATGCAACAACATCTTCTTCTCCCCCACCCTCCCCGCACCCACCGCGGCCGTGAAATCATCCAAAATTCTCTTCTCCAACATCCCTTCAAAGCCCAGGCCCATCGGGGCGACGGAGTGGCCGCCGTAGCAGTTTGTCTTTGAGATCTGGCGAAAGATGTCGAGCCCCATGCTTGGGGGTGGAGAGGTGAAGAGGAGGGTGAGACGGGTGGGTTCGTCTGCTGATTGGCAGCGTGCCCACAGCTCCCCCCGACGGAAGATTTGCCTTGCTGTAGCACCTGATAAACCTGATGAGCAGACAATGGACGGAGAAGGCGTCGATAGAGATGCACAGAGCGAGGGGAACGGGTGAAGTCATTGAGGAGCCGGTGAAAGGGGACGGGGAGAAAATGGGAGGATATGGGTAGTTATCACAGTTGGACGTGAGGGAAGAAGTAAAGGAGAGCAAGTGTAACGTCAGCAATTGCGACGCTACCAGTGAAGAAAGACTCACTAAAGCGACGATCGGGCTACGCAAGAAGTGGCTGTCCAGTATCTCATAGAACTCCACAGGGGCATCGTCCAAAGTTTTGAAGGCACTATCCGAAGGACGAGTTTCGTAAAGTACATCCCCAGAACAACGTTGGCTATCATCCATATCAGCTCCATCGAAAGTCGAAGCATATGAACCATACTCAGGGATTTCTGGACTAGTAATACAGTAAGATGTATATCCTCTCCAGAGAACCAAGGCTTCGAAGAAGACGCAAGACGTCTTTATTCAAGATGATCTGCGCGACGCTCTTGAACCTCTTGCACGTGGACGCGCAGAAGAAGAAACCCTGCCCGTAGGAGCCTGAGGAGATCGGTAAGAAGAGTTAAGATTGGAGGTATGGGAGTAGTGGTAGGCGAGGGGACGAGAGGGGTTTAGTCGGCCGGGAAGGAGGGGCCAGGCGGGAGGGGCCAGGAGGGAGGGGCCAGGAGGGAGGGGCCAGGAGGGAAGGGCCAGGAGGGAGGGGCCAGGAGGGAAGGGTCGTCGAGGAAGGAAGAGCAAAAAGGGGAGGGGCCAGAAGGAGGTCCTGACGAATCTCGTCGACTGTGGCGGCACCGTGGGAGGAGCTGATCGACCACAGTATCTCCTGATCGGCGGGGAAGCACTCGGGGAGAGGAGGGACAATGGAGAGAACCAGTTGGAGACTTGCCACCGAGATGGCGCCTTGTTGACCTCGAAATTTTCCCACAAGAAGCGCACTCCCGTGGCATTGAGGCCAGAGAAACACTCCTCCCAGTCGGTGAGGGGGGGCAGCCAACAAAAAGGACCTGGAGGCCAGAGAAATCCATGTGGTCACACCAAGCTGAGAAATTTTTTGGGCGCAATGCCCTTCTGGTGTTCTTGGCAGACCCCAAGAGACGGCGCAAAGAGAAGAAAAAGCCACCAGAGAGGTTGTCGTTGAACCGGTTGGGGTACGATCTGGGGCGGGCGCAGCGTTGGCCGGGGTCGGGGTCGAGGAGGGGGTCGAGCGCGAGGTAGTTGATGGGCCCGGAGGAGAGAGGAATACGGAGGAGGTCGTAAGTGCCGTCGCCGTCGCGGTCTGCTTCCCACCTATATACTCAAGAGTCAGTGAAACAGCACCTCAAAAAGCCCCAAAAGCTATGAGCTATGGCTCACCTCCATCTTTACCGACTAGACTCCTCCCTCGCGCCTGCTGCAGATGGAAGAGAAGTATGTATCAAAAGGATTGCAAAAGGAGGGTCACAGCGCAACAACTCGAACACAGTGGGACACACAAACAATATCCCGAAACTGTCCGAAAGAGCCGCTGAAAGCTGGAGACTACTCAGTACTACGTTACATGCTGGCAGATTGAATCTTCATACTTTCATGAGCATACCTATGGTGGAAGGTGGAGTGGTCGTACTCTTCTCCATGCATCTACCCTATCGAACGATCAAACGACAAGCATCCCCCGCAAAGAAAGAGATGCAAAAGCCGAAGCGCGATGGACTGGGCAGCACGCCGAATGAGTTGTGGGAACTGGGGCGGTCAGATTCTCGAGGAAAGGTGTACCCCTGGCGGAGATCTGTGAGTACCCTTGGCTAAGGCTTGTTCACCCACTGATGTCTTGAAAGACGCCCGAGTAATTGAAGCATCGCCCGTCGGTCAATTCCCCGACGGAATCAATTTCGACCCCCCGCAGTCTCGTTGCAGTCTCGCTCTCTCCGGATTACTCTCTTCTTCGCCCATCAGTCTTCGTAAAACCGCATTTGAACCGCATACTGCCCCGCTACCCCACCCGCAAAACTCGCCCTACTTTGACACAACGTAGGCTCAGCAAATTCCTGTCTTTGTTGTTGTTGCACTTCTCTACTCTTCCATTTTGCAAAGGCCTCACCACAAACACCAATTCATTACAGCAAGTACTGACTGTTTGCCCTCCTTCTCATATCATCCGACATTTCCACCCACCCCTGTATTGCTGTCCCCGCAGAGGCAACATGGCAGCCCCCGGCCCGAGCCCAGGAGTACTTCCACGCCCAATCTCACCAACAACAACAAAACAACAAGGGATGCCAATACCGATGGATCACTCTGGAATGAGATCCCAGCCAGCACGGATAGGCAGCGATCGCTGGGCAGGGAGAATGTGGTGTTATTGTGTACGTGTAAATTGACGAAGAGCTACTGATGGGCGCTGACGGACGTATCTCCTTTTCTTCTGGCAATCTGCTCTCCTCCTGACTTGGAACCATCAGCAGAACGGAAACACGGAAGAGCACACCCCCTCTCCCAGCTGACCGCCTCGGAAAAAGAAGCTGGCCAAACCATCGCAACCACAAACCCAAGCTGCCTGAGCTGGCCAGTCCGGACAAGAGAGAAGGGGCAGGAAGGGTCTTGCCCTGGGATACGAAGTGATTGAAGGTGGGCGGGATGTGAGCTCCTCTTAATCTGGATTGTGGATTGGTCGCTGACAGCTTGTAGATTCGGCGCCGTCGCTCTCGGCATTCTATCCTCCTTCGTCGCATCCGAGCCTGTTGAGGCTGGTCCCCAGTGCTCTGCTCGCAACGTCTCTCTCAGTTGGATTTCCCCTCGTACAAACGTGTATGGGCGCTGACTCATTGGCGTATAGGATACTGCCGTCGTCATAGTCCTGGTTTGGACGAAACCACAGTCAATGTGAGCTTGACCTCTTCACGGATGATGTCGTATGCTAATTGCATATATGGACAGCTTCAAAACTTATCAACATGGCTCTCATGGGTAGAGACATGGGCATCCGAGGCAGGCGAGAGGAGTGAGGTAGAAGAGCTGCATGAGCGACGTGAGTCAACCCCATCTAGAAAGAATCATGAAGACTGACAACGAGTAGTGCCATCACACTTGCAGCACTATACCGAGCTGTCACCCGCCATTGTTGGTACGACCACGTATACTGTTGTCGGGCCTCTGTTACCACTTGGCTCGGGTACTTCAGCGCGTTCGTCCTCTCCCAACGTCACCCGGACGGAGCACACTGACGATATCACAGCTCGCGAATTCCTATCGTTGTGGTTTGCAAAGACCGATCGCATGGATTCTTCTGCCGAGGATGTGGGAGTGAAAGGTGGACACTGGGGAGAAAGGACAGATCGAGCACAGCACGCACTGAGAACTGTCTATCTGGGCTGTATGTTGATCCCATCTTCATTGACGATCATACTGATCATTGACTTAGATGGCGCCGCTCTGTTCTACATTGACCCTACCCGATCTACGACATACGCTCTCCTGAAAAGCTATCTCCTCCCCAGACTGTATACCGTCCCGCCTCCACCAAATCCGTCAACAGCCTCCCCAAACACCGTGACGACACCCGCCATGGTCGGCTCTACCAAATTCCCCTTCAATTGCCAAGCCGACGTGCTTGACAGGGATGCTGTCATGATACCCAGCGGATGGGTTAGTTAGGGCAAGATCAATGTTTTGAGAGATGGTTTCGACCCCGCACAGGTGGAGAAGGGTTGGAAAGTCTGTCCTAGCCCTGCATTACCCTTATGTCGTCGCCTTCGAGCCCACGTTCATCGAGGTCCACCATGTCGAGACTGGGCATCTGGTCCAGATCATTACCGGCAACAACATCCGATGCCTCTTTGCCGATACCCTTCCTTCTCGAGTCAACGCCCCTCCCCTCCCAATCGTGGGATGTACCCCGGTCAAGCTGGAGGGGCATACGGCCGTTCCCCGCCCCACCCCGGATACCCCTATTCTCCCAACACTGCAGCCTACCTTCATGCCCCGCCTGCCGGCAGGGGCTACTACCCCAACGCGCCTCTTACACTCGGCGCTCGCCCTCGCCCGCCTCCCCAAATGGGCGGATACCCCGTTCCCCATCCGCATCAGCAGGCTCCGCCGGGACTTGCGGTGATTAGGTTTGCGCTGTCGCAGGTGGTGTTTGTGAGCGACGAGAGTCATGTGTAGTTCCTCAAGTTCCCTCCGCCGGGATCGCAGGGGCAGAGAGGGAGTCTAGGTGCGCAGAGTACGACGAGTCTTGCGGGGCCGAGAGGGTCGAGATAGATCTCAATATTCCTCTCGCCACAATCATCAACTGTCGCGCTATACTAGATACAAATAGTAATACACGATACATGATATGTTTCTCTCATTTGGCATCCACAATATGCATAGTCTCTGACGCGACAGAGTCCAGAGCATCACCGACTCAGTAGGAAGCAAGCTCATTGTCACGTTAACGACTGGCTGCCAGATACAGCAAGTCCATACGAGTGGACGCTAAGCAAGAAACGCATCATTCGACTCTTCAACGCATCATATAAATATGGTATGAGATGATAATGAGAAAAGATTGTCGCCGGTGCGAAGAAATCAGACTGGATTACTACTTTTCCCGTTTCCGTACCCCTCACATGTCGTTGACACCCCTTTAGCGTAGCGAGCTATATCGCAACTTGTCGGTCCTACATGAATAGTCGATGTTAGCATGGACGAAGATCCAATACTTGGTCAAGACAGTCACTTGCCTTGTTGAACATTGCTCGCAGCACAGACACGGGTCCCGGCCTTGAAGAATCTGACGGTACCCTCGGCAGGTCTCGTGTGGCATCCGCTACTCCCTGTATTTCCTGCGCGGCTGCTCCTTGTATTTCCTGCGCGGAAGATGGTCAGCATTGTAATCGTCTCAAAATCAACCCCAGAGCAAATCCGCGCTAGACTCACTTCATCTTCCACGTTCAGCAGTCGCGTCTCGGAATCCTTTATCGGAAAATTCGGCGGAAACACATAATACTCACAATCCGGCACTACATCCCCCAGCATCTCCATCAAGGGTTTCGTGCGCAGATAAGAGATGAACTTGAACATGTCTTTGACGGTGTAGATGAAGAGGGGAGAGGGACAGCGCGGATATCGGCTGGATGTTGTGGCGCTGCTATGGATGAGACGCCATCCATTTTCAGGAGTGTTTGTCCTCGCGTCCCCGATGGGTTCCCAAGTTCGGGGTACATGATGCGCGGCTTCCCAATCGACGAGCATCTCCATTGCGAGGCCTAGCTCCTCTGTAGCAAGTCGGATCAGTATACGTATCTTTTTTTCGTAACAGGCTGCCTACGCACGCTGATAACATTGGAACTACGCGAGATTGCAGTCAGTACCAACAGCGATGCAAGACGGCACGACTTGCGCTCACAATAAAGCCATCCATGTCCTTATAGAGAGAGGAGTAAGGGCCGGTGGCGGCAAATGCGCAGTTGGCCTTGATCCACCTCATGAGGATCGCGCCGTTCGTTGCGGTCGCCCAAGCTTTGCATAGGTGCAGCCGCGGAATCTGCAAGGGTTGGTCAGGCCTACATCGGAAGAGGTCGTTAGACTCGGGAAGGAAGTCTTTGCTTACAGGTGATTCCCAGGGCATTGGCGATCTGATTTCCAGGAAATAGAGAGGCTCAAGGCGATTGCCAGGCATGTAGCGGTAGGATATGATGGGAGAACGGTCCTTGCTGATCAATTGGCCCCATAGGCCAGATTGGGGCTTGTTTACGGTCTCGAGTATTATTGAATACTGTTGTACAGTCTTCAGCACCTATCACCTGGTAAGATGAATGCATTACATACCTGTTGTACAGTCTTCAGCACCTATCACCTGGTAAGATGAAAGAGCATGAGAAAGCACAACAGGCTCCACAACACACCCCGCTGCGCGTCCCTGAACCTTCCCGTGCCACATTGGGCATTTGGTCCCGCTACGTTACGTAACTACTTGTCTACCGTATACGTCTATACTCGCAGCGTCCTGCGTACTGAACTCCAGAATCCAACAAGTATGAATCTGCGAGGCTCGTAATTGCTAGGAACAGTTGTATCCGGCATGGTGATGTCTGTATGACGAGAATTAATCAGCGGATGGTGTAGTAGATTCAAGGGCGAGGGAGTATGAAGGAGCGAAAAGAACGGTACTCGTAGAGTACAGTTGGAGTACAGCCGGGGATGGCGCAAACACGTGTTGATGTGGAAGATTGTGGAAGTTCCACGTCACCACGCGTCTGCGCCAACCCCAGTGTACTCGAGTACTCGTACTGTACGAGTACACCGAGCAGTCGCTCCATCTCATCGAAACATCATATAAGGTCATTGCTAGGCCACTTACACTCAGAGGAGGTGCATGGGCGCAGGATGGTCTGAACACACACTATACCATGTACTTTCGCAGCTGGAGCGTTGACGACGGAACCACTGTACCGAGTACGAGTACTCTACAGTACTGTGCTTGCCGAAAAGATCATGTGGGTCATGCTCTCGCTTCTGACACAGTATGGGCTCTAGTCTTGGCTACGCATCTTGCCGAGTCTGTATAAAACCCAACATCCGGATACGTCTCTTGGCGACTGAGTACTGGTGAAGTGGTGAGAAAGAGCATGACAGACGTTGTCGGCCCTCTTCGTCGTTGTCAGTCTCCGATCGATCATAGCCGCTGTAAGCCCATGCAGTAATTTGAGGGAGATGAGTGTGGCATTGATGGGCCACTGGGACATGGTGAAATGTGCTGCATACGTAATGCAATCGTACTGGTGAGACATGGTGAGAGGGCGCACGGTGCACGGACCGTGTTGTGGCGGACCTCCTTTCGAGTACAAAAGGGGCGCTTCATTCTCTATCTCTTTCATTTCTCTCTCTATTCCCATCTCCCATCCCCCCCCCCCTGCCCGTACAAAATCAACAACATGTCCTCCACCACGAACAACAACAGTGCCGCCTCTGAATACAACATGGAGACGCGCCCCGCTGCGCCCAACCCCGACCCCAACGCTAATCCCAACCCCCACCCCCACCCCGAGTCGAACCTCCCCGTCAGAAAGGGCAGTCAGTGGAGCTTCCGCGTGTTGGCTGGTCGGCTGCTTTCTTGCCTCCCAGAGGAAAGGTCGGGCCAGGAATTCCGTGCCGGTACGTTTTGCCACTGTTCTATCTTGAGAGGATGTATAGCTGATTCAAGGAAACAGGGCTGGTAGACCTGGTGTTGATGGTGGCTTTGGTGACCTGGTGGTTTGCGATGAGTGGGCTCAAGGAGTGAGTCCATGAGGAACTTTGCGCTGTGGGAATGACTTCGTCCTCGAGGTGGCTGACACTTTTCTCAGGTGGCGGCCCATTGGCCTGTTGTGTTTGCCGTATGTGGTCGGGCGTTGGAGGTGGTGCACGGCACCGTATGGGACTCGGGTGTTCGACGCTTCCCCCGCCGAAGCAGCCGAAGCCGAAGCCGCCGCCGACACCGCCCCCGCCCATGTCGCCCCCGCCCATGCTGCCCCCGCCGAAGCCGCCCCCACCCATGCTGCCCCCACCCATGCTGCCCCCGCCGACACCCCCGCCGACACCCACCCAGCCCAGTCCTCCCAGTCGGACAGAATCGAGGCCCTGCTTGTCTCCCAAGCGCATATCATCTCCGAGCTTAGGGACAAGCTCCAAGCTGTCGAGCTCAAAGTCGACAAGCTTCAGGACAAGCTCGAAGCTGTCGAGAGTAAAGTCGACAAGCTTGGGGACAAGCCCAAGGCTCCCTCCTTCCGTCTGTGGTATTGTCTTTTTTGCTGAGAAATATTGGCAACAGTCAATGTAGGCCTGGCGCTCCTCCTGATCCAAGTATGTCGCCGGGCGGGTGGATGGTTTCATGGTGGTTATGGAATGAGTACTAACGACTCCACTTAGGATCTGCCTGGCGTCCCGGCCCTCGTTTCACAGGTAACCGGGAGGGTTTGAGCACCGGTTGGAGCTTGGGGGGGTTGAGGGGAGGGCGAAGGAGCTAGGGAGGAGTTGGGAGGGAGGGAGAAGGCGCCGGGAAGGGGTGGTAGGAAGGTGAAGGGAGGTGGGCGAGGAAAGTGGCCGGGGTCAGGGAAGGGACTAGTGGATGCTTGTATATAATAAACCTTTGTATGCAGTAAATACTGAAGACAGGCAAAGACAAGATCAGAGTCACGCTGCAGAAGTATTTCTCGAAGGCTCACTGAAATCAAGACCAGCCGACTGAATGACACGACTCGTGTTTGTTGTTGAAGGCGTGGGTCCTTGTGTCCCCGATGGCATCCCAATTTTGGGGTACGTGGTGAGCGGCTTCCCAGTCGAAGAGAATCTCCATTGCAAGGCTAACAAGTCGGATAAGTATACCACTATCTCTTTTCCACAACGAGCTTTACCCACGCTGATGACGTTGGAACTGCAGATGGCAGCTCAGTACCCCCAGCGCCAGCAATGTAAGACGGCAACGACTGACTCGTACGATGAAGACATCCATGACCTTATGAAGAGCCGTAAGGGTCAGAGGCGGCATATGTACAGTGGACTTTGATGCATCTCATGAGGATCGAGCCGTTCGTGGGGGTCGCCCAGGCTTTACATGGGTACAGTCGCGGAATATGCAAGTATTGGTCAGCGTTGAGAGAGGTCGTAAGACACGGGAAAGATGTTTGACTCACGGGTGATTCCCAAGGCATCGGCGACTTGGATTACAAGAAATAAAGCGGCCCCAGGCGATTGTTGGGTATGTAGCGGTAAGATATGAAGGGCGAGTGTTTATTGCTGATGCTGGAGTCGAAGATCTGGCCCCCAATTCGATCGAAGCCATCGTAAACCCATCCCGCATCGGCAACCTAAACCATCTCGTGAATACCCTGTCCACCTCACCCATCCAAGTCAATCCCAGCCGGCAAAGATGGAAGGGAGAAAGAAGAAAGACGCACCGAATAACATCCAACCCCGTCCCCACCGCCACATCCCTATACGTCTCCCACGGCACCCCCAACAAAGCCAACTCTTCATCATCCAAACAACAAATCAACGCCCCACCCCTTCTCCTTTGATCCCCCTCAGATCTGTCGCGAGATCACGGCAGACAGGGCCGCGGCCTACGGAAGGGGCGTCCATGCGGAGAAGTTTGCCGGGGCAGGAAGAGAGGAGGAGCTTGCCGAGGGTTTTGGTTTGGGTTGGGGTTGAGCAGACGGAGGGAGAAGGGGAGGGAGGGGAGGGGGGGAGGTCTCTAAAGCTGGATTGGAGGGGCGAAGGGATAGGTGCCGATGCAGAGGGCGGCGCAAAGCCGAGAAGCAGACGCGGCACATCGATTTTCGAACCCAACATCATCCTCTTCCTTCTTCCACCTGCCCTAACACATTCCTCGACAAGATGTCCAGCAATTCAGAGGGGAAGAATGGGGAAACGATGATAGGGTGCGATTCGGACGTTCTGACGACCATGCCGAATACCGGAGTAGGGTTTTGCGCGTGGGCTTTGGACAAGTCGGGCACAGAAGCAGACATCTGCCCACCCTGCGCCGCCGCCGAAACAGACGCTTTCGCGCTCTCTGAGGGAGAGAGTATGACCCCGTTATCGACAGCTTCTTCAACGACCATCTTGACGTCTTCGTCCTCTTCCACCTTGCGCCGCTTTTCCTCTTCGCCCTGCTGCCCCTGCCCGACCATGGGGCGCTTGGCACCGCACGACTGGGTCCTGACGCGAGTGGGTTGGCGGGCTTGGTGCTGGGGAAGGGGAGGGGAGTGTGTAGAGAGGGTTTCGGTTTCGTGAGGCTGGGAAGGGAGCGAAGCGTTGGAATGACGGCAGCATAACAGCGAGCTTGCCATCGCTTCTCTCAGTTCTTTCGCCCTCTTCTGCTTCTCTTCTTCTTTACATTCCCCAGCCACCTCGAAGCTTGCAGCACTCGCCAAACAAGATACTCCCCATAGGCGAACTGGCATAACCAGAAATCTCGCTCACGGACGTATCCGTCTCGTCGTCCGACTCGTGCTCCCCCCTGCGCTCCTCCCCCCGGTGGTGCTGGGGCTGGTGCTGACAATAGAAGAAGGTGGACGAGGTCGTAAACAGCTGTTGTTCGATCTCTGCTTGGCGCTGCATCACCATCGCGACGTACGTAGTGCGGGTTGCAGAAACGCTGTGGTTGGTATGAGATGTTTGCTCCTAGTAACCTCATCAGCCATGTCCAAGAATGAAGGAGAAGGGAGATGGAAGGAGGAAGAGGGAGGCTCACCCTTAGGCCCGTGTTTCGTCATATTATACCCACTCTGCGGCCACTGGCTACACAACCTCGCGGACTCCACGATCCTCCTATTCCCCGAGTCGATCCATCCCGCTGCCTTTTGGCTTCCTCCTCCTCCATCTCCTCCTCTGGCTTTTGCACCATCACCCCCGCTGACTGGACGGTGGGTTGGGCGAAGGGCGGCGCGGGTTGGGAAGAAGGGGCATAGAGGAGGGAGGCAGTAGGCGGTCTGAACGGCTGGGTAGTCGTAAGGCTAGACGGCGTGGACGTCCCAGTCTGACTCGTCGACCGACGGCCCGTAATCGATCCTCTCCTCTTCTCATCCCGAATAAACCCTCGGCCAGTATTGACAACCCCCATCACCATCTTGCCACCCAAGACGGTTTGCCTCCTTCCCCTACTAGAGACATTTGGCCGAGCTCTGCGCCGCCGAGATACCCTGGGGAGAGGGCGGAATTAGAGGGGAGAGAGATATCGTCCGCGTTGATGATATAAGGTTCTGAGTCGTAAGAGACGGGTGTCAAGAGCGTAGAGGGTGTTTGGGAGATGATGCTCGCCATGGACGCGCTCGTCAATGGCGTCGACGAGCGGGGAAGCGAGTCGTTAGACGAGGGGATGGATGATTGTGAAGATTGGTTTGAACAAGACGATTAAGCGATTGACTGTTGGCCATGGAGGGCTTCTTCCCTCCTCCCCATTGCATCTCCAGCATCTCCCTCAGCAGAATCTTCGGGCGTCTTTTTGAATGCGCCAGGAGGGAGATTCTTGACCTTTCTTCGCGCGAAAGAATGCGAATGATGCCCGTGCCCGTGTCGGGCAAAGTGCGGAGAAGAGGTGGAGTGGGCATTGTGGCGCATAGAGGGGGTGGCCGTCTTTTGGGGAAAGTGTGTTTGGGGAGGAGGGGTGGAGGCGGCGGTTCGGGACATTGTCAAGTGTCTTTTGGTGATTAGGAAGGGAGGGTGGCGAAGAAGTGCGGTTGGCTTTGGGTATTGGTAGGGAGAGGAGAGGCTACCGTGCTCTTCGCGCCTTTTGTGATCATGAGCTAGTCACGATGACTGCTTTTGATCGGTTGTCGCAAGAGAAGGAGGAGGAAGGGGTAGGTGGAAAGTTGCGACAAGGTGGATTTTCCGCCGGCCTTATAGCTGTATAAGAGTGTTAGTGCTGATTTTTTCAAATATGGCATGCGGGGTGGAGGCGTACTAGGTAGGAGGATGTCCAAGGGAGAGGTCGGGTGAAAAGTCTTGAGCTGTGGCAAAAGATTCGGAAAGAGGGTATAAGGCAGAGTTCTCGAAGAAGACGAGTTGCTTTTTGGTCGTAGAGCTCAGTGCAGGCGAGGTTCAGATATACAGTGGCATCGAGGCGATCCTTGGCCCCTTGATCCAAAGTCCAATCCTCGTAATTTGCGATGATAGAATTCGGTGCTTGCCACTGGATACCATTGAAGGGTTCTCCTGCCGCAAGCAGGCCAAATTGCTCTGGAGACAGGCAATGGTTGTCGCGGCGCCTCAACTTGGCGACAACATCTGGATCGGCTTCGACCAAGATTCTCCGGCCACCGCCTGCTCCCAGAGCCACGCCCTCCCAATCTACCTCTTCTCCTTCTGGCACCAGATGGGACAGGTTCAGGATACGAGTGTAATTCCCGTTGACCAATGCCATAGCCGAACGACACTTTGAGACGTCATGACCAAGTAGGCTGTAGAAGATTGTCTGAGTGATAGCCTCCATGTTTGCATATTGAAGGCCTTTGAGATGTTGATCGATTGTCCTTCGTATATCGAGCTCTTCTGCTTCATCGAGCTCTTTTGATTCTGGCAAAGGAACCCACTTGAGCTCGATTTGAGCGTAGAGGACCCTTTTGGGGCGATCGGTCTTCTCAACTTTCCGCCGCCCTCGAGCTCTTGTCGATACGTCCCTTCCGCCAATGTTCCAATGTGATACCCTGTTAGACAGACATCTGGCTTGATGCCGCTAAACTTTGTCGACATCTGGGATGTAACCTCGGATGTACCCGTCTGTAGAGGCTGATCAGCGACCATTTCCGGGGCACAAGCGAGACTACTCACTTTCAATAATTTGGGGTCATGTTCTCTGACAGATTTCACAATCTCCAAATCCGTGAACTTCTTTCCCAGAGGGATATAGAAGCGATTGCTATGGAAGTTCACGTCCGTGTTCCAGCTAGTAGGGTATACAGCCTTGGGATCAACATAGAATTCACGTAGATAAAGGACAACGTGTTGGTATTGAAAGTGATGTTCGTGTTGGATGCTGGGATAGCATTCGATCCAGTGTGAACCCATCCAATCTTGGTCCACATTCTCGTATGGCTTGATCGTCAAACCGTTGGGATAGTGGTGGGATTTTGAAAGGTCGAACGGGACCAACCGCAGAGGACCTCCGAAAATACCATTCCCGGGATGTCCAATATCGGAGGGGTACGCGTTGGGGACAGAAGATTGCGAGAGAGTGTCGATAGGAGGATTCGTGGTGGGAGCGACGGCAGGAACGTCCCAGATGGAGCGCAAGATCCCTGAGAGCGGATACAGAGAGACTGAGGATCGGTTCACTCTGAACGACGATTAGAAAGTGATCAACACGGACAGTACCCAGGTGCTTACGATTGCGGGACAGCGGGCGATCCCCTCGTCTGCGTAGAGGGGCCTGCTTCGGCCATGGAGAAGTGGGGATTGGTGCCCGAGGTTGTATGTGAGGAAAGAGGCGATGGCGGGTATGGAGATGGATGAGAACAAAAAGAGGACAAACAACAGGAATGCCGGCAATGGATGCGCTTCGTTGTTGCTGGAGGCGGACAACGCAAGCCGCCACACTCGGGCGTCGCCGCCTCACCTACCAAGTTGAACAGACATCTCTCCTGCACATGATGTCAGAATCAGCCACAGCCGGCGTTATGCGGGATTCGTAATTAAAATCAATACACGTTATTCTGCGCGTCGATAGCTTCTTCTCTTTCTTTGTCACTCTTTAACTGCATCATTGGCCGTAGCAAGTGTTTGGGTTAGTGCTTAGGAATCCTCAGGTATGCACTCTTTAACTGCATCATTGGCCGTAGCAAGTGTTTGGGTTAGTGCTTAGGAATCCTCAGGTATGCACTCTTTAACTGCATCATTGGCAGTAGCAAGTGTTTGGGTTAGTGCTTAGGAATCCTCAGACTCCCACAGGTTATGAGCCTCGTGGTATACAATCCTTCGCACGCGAATCAAATTCCCCATCCCGCACGACAAGCCTCTTCCGCAATGGAGTCCACAACTATGTCACCAGATGACAACAATCCCTCTACGTCAATCAGCATCCTCACTGGCGACAATAACTATGAGGCTTGGGCGAGAGCCGTCACGGGCCTCCTCATCATCAAGGACCTTCGCGACACTCTGATAGACAAGCCGGCCCTCCCCGAGAAGGAGAACACCGTCAGTGCCATGACACCGGAGCTTCAGAAGCAGTACAAGCGGCAGGGAATGGCATGCGCCTGGATCCAGAGATATCTGTCCTTGGGGGTCATGCAGAGACTCTCCGCACAGGCCCTGGACCTGGACCGACCAGACCCTCGTCAGCTCTGGAAGGAGCTCAAGGACACTTACGCAGTCAACACCACTGCGAAGATCCCCTACCTCTACCAGACCCTCTACAGCACCCGAATCCCCGAGGGTGTGTCGCCAAACACATACATTGCCAACATGCACGACGCATATACGCATATTTGCGCCTCCAACATCGACCGCGAGGTCGATGCAGCCTACGCCATGCTGCTCTCCCTGCCCCCGTCCTTCGATATACTCAAACAGACCTTCACTCAGAAGGGCACCTTTACGGTGAGCGAGGTCATGATGGCCGTAAAGAATGAGTGGTATCGCCGGGAGCAGGACCCCAACCATGAGTCGGCTCTGGTTGCTGTTGCTGGGAGGGATGACGGGCGAGGTAGTGAAGGGCGAGGGAGGAAGAAAAGGTCGGGGAAGAAGAAGGATCTGTCTGGGCCCCCTTGCTCTTTCCATTCAGAGCCGGGAACACCCGCCAATCACTCAGAAGCTGAGTGCTGGGTTCTTGGTAGGGCTCAGAAGCTAAAGGCAGCCAACAAGCTTCCGGACGCTTTCTGTCAGATGGCTCTTCCCATCTCCGACGATGACAATGACAGCGATGCCTCCGGGTACATAGCCAGCTGCACCCTTGGCTTGGTCACCTCTACTCCTACAATCTCTCACACCTACATCGTCGACTCCGGCGCCACAGAGACAATGGTCAATCATCCCTCTCTCCTCAGCGACCTACACCCTCTCTCTCCCCCTCGCCATGTCAAGATGGGCAACAACGCTAGACTCCCAGTCCGAGAAGCCGGTACCCTGCTCCTCAACGGTGTTACCTTCAACAACGTCTGGGTTGTCCCTGGTCTGGCCCAGAACCTCCTCTCCTGTCGCCGTCAACCTCCCGGCAGCGAGTGGGTCATCTCTAGTCGTGGAGCAATCCTCTTCGATGCCCGACGTCAACCGCTTATGGCCACCAACCTCTCCAACGGTGGCCCATATGTCATCGAGGCGAGTGATGCTTCCGCTTTGTCCGTGGAACCCGCTCCTAACCGTCTTTCAGAATGGCACCATCGCCTAGGGCACATCAACGTGCAGTCCATCGCCAAATTGGCTAGGACAGGTGTTCTGGATGGTTTGGAAAAGGTTTCTTCTGGGGAGATCCGTGGTTTTGCCTGTGACCTATGCACTCGTGGTAAAGGCGTCCGTCTACCCTCACCTCCTCGAGCAGAGAGAGAAAGTGAGGCACTCAACTTGGTGCACATCGATCTCTGGGGACCGGCATCTACCACTTCCATACATGGCAACCGGTACTTTCTGACCTGCTATGACGACTTCACTCGAAAAATCGATCTCACTTTCCTTCGTGAGAAATCACAAGCATTCAAGGCTATGAAGGACTACATCGCCAAGGTGGAACGTCAAGTGGGGCGTCCGGTGAAGAAGATCCGGTCAGACAATGGAGGGGAGTTTGTATCCAGAGAATGGGAGGAGTATATGCTCAGCAGAGGGATTGAGCACATCTGGGTGCCACCGGGAGCGCATGCTCAAAATGGCCGCGTGGAGCGCGTCCATCTTACCATCCTCAATCTTGTTCGAACGCTACTTCTCGCGTCGGACATGCCATCTGGTTTCTGGGCAGAAGCGGCTGCATACGCTGTTTATGTTCGAAATCGGGTTCCGAACAGCTCAGGCGCCATTGCCGATGAGCTCTGGTACCGCACAAGTCTCCGGTATCATCACCTTCTCCCATTTGGTACCCATGTCCTCTACCGTGACCACAACAACCCATCCAAGCTGAAACCACGCTATCTCCCAGGCCGACTTGTGGGTTACACACACGGCACAGAACAATATAGGGTATGGGACCCCGCTCTTCACAAGGTTGTGTTCACCAAGGACCTCCTGCAAGGCGAAACCAAGCTCGTTCCAAATTCTGATGCTCCAATTCCAGATCTTGGACCTCTAGCACCTTCATCACCTCCATCACTCGCTTCCTCCCCTGCACAGTCACCACCACCCTCACCTCCGCCCTCACCTCCGCCCTCGCCCCCACCTTCCCCCGCACCATCCTTGCCTCCTTCTCCGCCACCAACCACCACCGTCAAGGGGTGGACCTATACTCAGGACGCACCACCTCCCAGTGTTGATGAACTCGCTGCCCCCATACCTGCCAAAACCACACGTACTGGGCATGCCTTTGGCCTCGTTGCGTTGGTTGAGGATGCTCAAGTGGACAATGAGGAAGAAATATTAGCCCTGGCGGCAACGACTGAGACTGCCCCCCAGACCTATCGGGAGGCACTGCGCTCGGAGGACCGGGCGTCTTGGATCAAAGCAATGGAGGCGGAATTGGACAAGCTGGAGGAGTACAAGGTATGGGAGGTGGTGCCGCGGGAGAAGTCGATGCGAGTAATGGGGGCCAGATGGGTGTATGGCCGGAGATTGGATGGAGAGACCGGCAAGGTGGCTGGCTACAAGGCCAGATGGGTTGCTCAGGGGTACAACCAACGGGAAGGCGTGGATTATGGCGAGCTATTTGCGGCGGTCGCGCACAAGGACTCCATCCGAGTTTTCTTGAGTCTGACCAACTACCTCGATCTCGAGTGTGATCAGGTTGACATCAAATCCGCTTTCCTCAATGGGGACCTCGATGAAATCATCTACCTCGACCCACCTGAACACAGTTCCATCCCCAACGGCAACGTACTTCGCCTGCGGAAATCTCTCTACGGTCTCAAACAGGCTCCCCGCTGCTTCAATCAAGCCTTTGACAAGTGGCTCAAAAGCCAGGGTCTACAACCTACTCTCGGTGATCCCTGTCTCTACTACCGCCGACGAGGCGACGAGTTCCTCATGCTGTCTGTCCACGTGGACGATCAGCTCATAGCGTGCAACAGCCGCCCGGCACTTGACGATTTCAAGTCAAAACTCAATCATGCCTTTGCCTGCTCCGACTCCGGCCCCGTTAACTACTTCCTTGGTTTCAACGTGTTCCGGGAACGTCAGAATCACAAACTTTTCATCTCCCAACAGCATTACCTCTCGAATCTCCTTGACCAACATGGTATGCTCCAATGTAACCCTGCCTCCACCCCACTCCCAACCACCTTCCGTTCGATGCCTGCCAGTGACGAAGAGTTCGCCGCGGCCTCTCACTATCCATACCCCACCGTTGTTGGTGCCATCCTTTACGCTTCAACCATCTCTCGCCCTGATCTTGCCTTTGCTGCGGGTGTCTTGTCTCGCCACCTCAGCAAGTGGAATCTCAGTCACTGGCAAGCCGCCAAGCACGTCTTGCGCTATATCAGAGGTACTCTTGACCTTTGTCTACGCTTTGACCAGGCTGCCGGTCAGCGCACCGCTCTGGGATATGCGGACGCCGACTGGGGGGGAGATCTCGACACAAGGAGGTCAACAACCGGTGCGGAGTGGATGGCATCCACAGACGCAACCACACAAGCCACCTGGCTCAAGGCGCTGCTCAAGGAGCTGATGCCCACTCACCCAGACTCGCCAATGCCTATCTTGAATGACAACATGGGTGCTATTGCCGTAGCCAAAAATCCCAGTCATCATGAGAAGACTAAACACTGGGGAATCAGGCTTGGTTTCCTCCGAGAAAAGGTGGCAGAAGGGGAAGTGGAGCTATCTCATGTGCCCTCAGCGCAAAACTTGGCCGATGCTCTCACCAAGGTCATTCCCCGAGAGCCATTTGAGCGGGCAGTCAAGTTGTTGGGGTTGGAGAAAAAGGGAGACGGGAGAGCCGAGTGAGGGGAGCATTTTTCACGTAAAATTCCTGATTGTTTCTTTCTTTAAGCCTTATCTGAGACTAGTTTTCTGCGGTATTGATTGTAGGGGAGTGTCAGAATCAGCCACAGCCGGCGTTATGCGGGATTCGTAATTAAAATCAATACACGTTATTCTGCGCGTCGATAGCTTCTTTCCTCAGGTATGCACTCTTTAACTGCATCATTGGCCGTAGCAAGTGTTTGGGTTAGTGCTTAGGAATCCTCAGACTCCCACACATGACACATCTCCTTCCAGCTTCTTCCCATTCTTGCTCTGACTCTTGTGCGACGAGGATGGGGGGATGTCGACAAGGAGGACGAGTTTGGCCGCATGCCTGGCAGCATACCTAGGTTCATGTTCAGTGCTGACACTTTGGACGATGCCCCTGTGGAGTTCTACATGAGATACTGGACAGCCACTTCGTTCGTAGCCCGATCATCGCTTTCCTGAGTCTTTCTTTACCGGAAGCGTGGCAATTGCTGACATTACACTTGCTCTCCTTTACTTCTCCCCTCACGTCTCACTGTGACTTTGCCTACCCATCTCCTCGTGGACGCTGGGGCTAGGGAACGTTGGGATGGGTCTTGATGGCGGCAGTGGCGGACGTGGGATTGGAGGAGGAGAGTGCGTAGCCGGGACCGATCTTGGGGAGAGCTACAAAGTCGAGAAGGGCTGCACCCGACGGGTGCGCTATGTACACAGCGGCGCATCGGTCGGCGGCATCATAGACGTACGAGACAGGAGGTTTTAGAGAGCCCCGTGTGGCCGGTGGATGATGTCGGGCCTTCGGATATCAAGAGATGCAAACAATCGTGCAGAGTGTGGAGGGCATAATACTAGATTACATATTATCTGTATAAGTAACAATAATCGCCATGCAAGGCGCCACATACCAACATACAACACTAGAAAACCACTTTCGCCCTAGAAAAAAGCAACACACATCCCCTCCTTGTTCATCTTCTGACACCAATCCGGCAACTGTCCACTCTCATCCACCTCCTCCCAAATCTTCTCCACCACCGCCACATTATCCAACCACACCTTCTCCGGCCCGGCCCTCAACAGATGCCTCATCGCGCGCTCGCGGTCCTGTTTCGTAATCGACAGCGTCGCCGCGAGGAAAGCCGGAAGGGCGGTAGACGATGCCAGGTCGCCCCTCGGTAACGGCACGAGCGCGTCGAGCAGTGAGAGGATCTCCGACTGCGCATGCCGTAGCGTAGGATGCAGCCCCCCAACCCGATGCACAGACTGGTACAGCAACACCAAACACGTCAACCTCCAAATCTCCCCCACCACCACCCTTCCCACGCCCACTCCGCTCTCCTCTGCGCCAGCGCCCTGAAGCTTTATCCCGGGCGCTTTCCATGTCCTGATAGCAGTCTCTAGCTCGCCGGCTTGTTCTTTGATGGAAGCGGAGGAGGAGGAGGAGAGGTCGGCGGCGAGGTTGACGATTTCGGCGAGGAGGATGAGGAGGGGGTCGGGGAGGCCGAGGTAGGATGACCACGCAGAGGATTCGGGAGGTTCAGCGGAGGAGGCTTCGCTGGGGTGATCGGACCAGAAATTGAAGCTGCATGTCGTCAGCTACGTTTCGTGCCATAGCGAGATGCTCACATGGTCCGTCTACCTCTCTCGACAATACACCGCCCAAGATCCGCAACGGCAAACAACCTCAACGACAATTGCTCGGGCGTATTGAGACTCTTGAGTGTGATGCCGGGATGATGCGAGCCGAGAGCGGAGCGGACCAGTCGATCACCAAGGGCGAGATGGGCGTATGATTTCTTGGCGCCGCTCCGAACAAACTCCATAAACTGCAAGTCGATGACGCCCCAAAGCCTAATCCATGTCAGCTCAACACCCATGGAAGATGAAGCATACTCACAGATCCGAAAGATGAGCCTCGTCTACAACCACCACATCCCTCAAAGTCCTCGACGCATCTTCCACCCACTTGCCAGCATCCACATCTGCATCCACCACCGCCGTCACCCCTTCCGCATAGTCCTTCATCCTCTGGCTGATCTGCCCCGCCTCATACGGCGCTTCCTTTCCTTCCCCTCTCCTCCCCTCTCCCCGGCGCGAGGTGCTGATGCCGACATTCCCCATAGGATCCGGCGTATTGTCGCCGAGAACTTCGTACGGCGGTTCGACTATCCCCGCTGCTTTTCGACACAAGTCCGAGAGACGGCATCTGGGATAGTACTGTGCCGAGGAAGAAGACAGGAGAGCAATGTAGGATGCTGCGACGGCGTATTTGACGTTTCGGAGGGTGTTGGACGAGTCGTTGAGGGCGAGCAGACGGGCGCGGACGTATTCGCGAGTGTCGGAGGGAATACCGACGAGCCACGATTCGATTACTCGGGCGTCTTTCAAAACATCAGTTCTTGAACAAGCCTTGGGCAAGAGTACTCACATATCTCCGCCAGGGATACATCGTTCCTCGAGAACCTTACCGCTCCAGGACCCATGAACGACCCAAAGAACGCCGGATCCAACAAATCATTCGCCGTCGCTTCCCCACCCTTCCCCCACGCTAGTGCCGGGTCAAAAGCCAGCGCCCCACACTCTGTCGTCGCCAAAAAGCTACCATCTCCCGACCCCCCGGCGCCTCCAAAGATGGCTGCCCAGTCCATCGCGCTCCCCGCGGGTTGTGACGAAGGACCGCCGGCGGGCTGGGCAAGTGACAGGAAGGAGGAGGGGTCGTGGTGGGGGGCAGGGGAAGGCGCGTGGTTGACATTGTACCAAGCGAAATTGACATTGGCAGCTGCCGAAGCCTGCACTTGGTCTGTCTTGCGCGGCGCGCCGGAGGAGGATGCGTGGGATGTGAATGCGGTATTGTCGAGCGAATGACTAGGAGTTGTTGGCAGGGTAAAAGAGTTGTGTGGGGATATCGAGTTGCTGGAAGCGTTTGACTGCATCGCCGCCGATAACAGAGCGTTCGGTGGAAGAGCAGCAATGCTTCCCCCACTGAGGCTCGTCCCCGGCTCTCGTTCTTCTTCCTGCCAGGCTTGTGTCGGTGACGGCGACGCGTAGCGAGTAGGGGATGGGGCGTTGTCGGGTCTCTTCTTCTTCTTCGACTCGACCAGCGTTCGCCCGGTACACTCAAACTGGCCTATAAGACAGCGCTGACAATGCCCGTCGGACGTCCACTCTTCGTCGCATTTCTTGCCTCGCCTGCATCATCGTCAGCTCCGCCCGCTGGCACAAAGTTGGAAAGGCCGATACACACCTTTTACACGTTCCACCTGCACGCGGTCGTCAGCTGAGCATACACATAAACATGAAAGAAGGACGCACACCCTGTTCTGGACCGTTTGAAAGGCCCTGTCCGCCGCTTGACTCTCCTCTGGCCCCCATCCTCCATCTCCTCGCGGTCGACGTCGTGGTGCAGCCTGTTTGTGGGGGGTGTGTCGGCTTCGTTGACCATTCCAGAAGATAGAGAACAAATGATCAGGTGACTGTTGCTTTTGCGAAGAGAGCCAGGGGCGGCCATCTCCGCTATCGCCAATCTACTGTTTTGGCGCAAAGGCTATCCTTATCAGCTCGCGTCTTTTTTTCAAAACAACTCGAGTAATCAGATACATATACTACAACACCCGTCTAATGCATCCCCATGTAGAACAGCGGCGTCGGCTGGTACCCCACTCCCCCACCCTGCCCCCCAATCCCAGCCTTCCGACTACTCTCATCCCCCGCCTCAAACTCCCTCATCATCTCCTTCAACCGCCCCATCCCCGCACCCGCCACCCCCGACATCGTACTCAACCTCGAGCCCGCCCCGCCACCGACGCCGACCATACTGAGGCGCGACCCCGCCCCGCCCAGCATCCCCGTGATTCTCCCTCCCCCGCCGCCGTTGCCGCCGCCGTTGCCGTTGCCGTTGCCAGCAGGCACCGAAATAAGATCCTCCCCTCCCAGTACCCCAGCCTCGTCCAACTCGAGCCCTCTCGAGAACGTACTCCAATCCGACCTCTGCATCAAATACGGCCTCAACAACTCTCGCTCAATCTTGCCCAGATGTCCTTCTGTGAGATACGTCTTGAGCACGTTGGGCTGGACGATGAACGAGTTGCCGAGTTGGCGCAGCATGTCGAAACGTTCGTTCAGGGCGGGGATGGAGAATGTCGCGATGATGTCTTGGTAGGAAGCGAGATCCCTTGCGCGGGTATCAGCTATTGCCCAGAGGACAGAGGGGAAAGACTCACTTTGTGAGCATCAATCCGCCCGTCGGGTTCACCGGGAACTTTTTATAATGATCCAACAACAACCTACCCCCTCAATCAGCCCCAGCCTACTTGCACAACCTGCCACCGCCCGAGATCGAGATCAAAACTCACGCATGGAACCCAACCCCAACCTCCACCAAGAACCCCTCCGCATTCCTCCCCGTCAAACACCCCCTCACCGCATCCCTCACTTCCCCCAAAAACGCTACCGCAAGCTCACACGGTTCCGTGATCGTCCTCGCAAACGAGATATCGTCATCCTTGGGTTTGTAATCATTCTTCTTTTGTTTCGTCAAGATATGCGCGAGGTGGCCGAGTATCACTAATAAACCCTCCATCAGCCTCCCCCCTCAAAAAAAAAAGATAAGAGATGGAAGGAGCTCACGATCAACACCCTTCTGCACAACCTCATTCACCTTCCCCTCCAATCTCACCACCCCATGCCGTCCCAGCCCCACCATCTCCCGCCTCAACCCCGCATTCCCCCCCGCCAGCGGCACCACCGCCATCCCACTATACTTTTGCCAGAGCACATGTATCCCCGCGGTCGCTTTTAATGTCTGTAACGGGCTGAGGTCGGGTGGCGTTTTGTGGTCTTGGGTCTGGGATGAGAGGAGGACGAGGGTAGAGTCGAGGGACGTTTCGACGAATGAGCGGCCTATCGCCTCCGAAAGCACTTTCAGCAATGCTAGCGCATTCTTGCCCCTACTACCCGTCAGCACCCTGTCCACAGCCACAACAAAAAGAAGAAGAAGAAGAAGGAGGAGGAAGGACATACACATCACCCCCGCTCAACTCTACACACCGCCCCACAGCTTCCGCATGCCACCTCAACATCCTCTCCGCCATCCCCACCGTCACCACCCCATCCGTGCTCCACACCCTATCCCTATCCTCCAGTCCCTTACTGACCGCATCCGTCCTCGCCCCCGCTGTGCCTCCAGCAGCGATAGCAGCAGCTTGCGCGTTGACTATCGGTGTGGAAGTGCCGGAGGGGTTGTCTTTGGTGGATGTGAAGAGGTTGGCATAGCGCCCTATCGCCTGGGCGGCGGTTTGCGCAGAAGAAGAAGTGGCGGAGGAGGCGGCTGAGGAGGACGAAGCGAGCTGGTGGACTACCTTGTTGAGGAGCGAGTTTGGTTTCGCTTCAAGTACCGTCTCCTATGAAATCCTATTAGCACGCTTTTTCTCTTCCCAAAAGAGGAGAAAAAGACTCACGTGGTACCTGGTGAATCTGGAAAGCAGCCCAGCATACAACTCCACCAAATTCTTACTCTCGCTCTCCAAATACCTACTCCCTTCTAACCACGGTACATACATCTCCTCCAACACCCTATCCAAATACGCACTCAACGTCCCCGTCCCCGCTCCCGCCCCCGCTCCCTTCCCGGACCACTCCCCACCAACACTAGAAGAAGAAGAACCAGCGTCGAGAGACGAGCGCGGGCCGAGGGGAGAGGTGAGGACGCCGTCGTATACTTTAAGGTCGTCCACGAGGGCGGCGCAGATCGTGTGGGTGAGGTGGAGGATACGGAGGAGGGCGAGGGTGGAGGTTGATGCAGCGCGGGATACAAGGTTTTCGAGATGCTGTTGAATCTAACTCCCATGTCAGTGTCTCTACATAAAAAGATAAAAATGGGGACTTGCGACTTGCGCAAAGATGCGCTGCAAGAAGCCTTCCATCACCGCACTACTATTTGGATGGAACACGGCCTTCATAATCTGACTCTCTTGGGCTATCGTCTCCCTGATCGACGTGCAGAGCTTCTCCAACGCAGGCTCTGATGTCGGGGCGGGCGAGTCGGGATTTGCAATTTCCGCCCAGAGGTCGACAGTGTCAGGGGAAGAAGATTCGTCGAGGTGGTGGTCTTTGATAAAGAAATCGTGCTGGTTGACGTATATCTGGATACAAGAAGCTCCACCATTAAACTCTTGAAGCGTCTTGGCACAATGCTAACCTCTTCATCAGCACAAGCCCAACGACAGCCCAAGTAACTCACAGCCATCATCCTCGGATCACCCTTCCTATAACTCCTATCGAAAAGCCTCAAGAGCTCCTTCTCAAACCGCTCACAATAACTCTCAATCTGGTCCCTCACCCTCTCACCCCGCTCCTTCTCCCTCCGCCTCTTGCCCACCAACCGCTGATCCACCGCCACACTGGACTCATCCCCTTCCTTTCCCCCTGGCTCCGCCTCGAGTAAGGCCGTAGCAGCATTATCCGCTACATCCTTCGCCACTATCATCAACCGTCTCAGCACCACCGCCAGCTTCTCCCTCCCTCCCCTGCTTGCCCTTGTCGCAAAGAGCTGCTCGAGCGGGCTCGTCTGGTCGTCGGTGGCGGAAGCGTGTGTCGATGAGAGATAGTACGATAAAAGAAGGGAAGTGGACTGGGCAGTGGACCGGGTTTGGTGGAGGGATTCGAGCTGTTCGCCTATGCGGATAGCAGTACGGCCCACGTCGGTGATTTTGCTTTCGAGGTTGGTGAATGATTTGCCGATGGTCTTTATCCCTCTTGTCAGCCCAGCCCATATCGTGCAGGAAGAACGTACCTCGAAGCCCCCGTCAAGCTCTCTGAGACGCTTGCCGTACTCGCGCTCAGCACGCCGGACGTCCGTCTCCATCTTCTTGGTACGCTCCGCGACTTGGGCGCGCAGAGCCAATAACGAGTCGAGCGCGGGCGAAAAGGTCTGCAGAAACGGCGCCGGGTTGAACGCTAACCCCCATCAGCTCCACCCCATCGTCTCTGAAAAGGTGCTCACGGCCTGGAGTAGTCTTTGAACTGTCGATGAGCTTGTCGCTGAGGACAGAGATGAACTCTTCGGTGCCATAGTTGCCCTCAAACGTGGACAGCTGCAGGGCCCGCTCTATGGCGGGGTCACGTGGGCGGGCGGGCTGCTGTGTGATGCGCTTGGCAGGGCGGCGGGGGGGAGTCGCAGGGGCCGCCATCTCAAGTGCTTGGTACAGAGAGAGACGAGAGGGATGTTGTTGTTGGTGACGCGCAGGCGGAGGTCCCCGCCCATCATCCCCTTCCTCTTCCTCTTCCTCTTCCCCGTCTTCCACTCCCACCGTCCTATCCGCGGCGATGTCCACCCCGAAAACACCCCGCGAAGCCGCTCTCGCCGCCGCCGAGGCTCGGCTCAACCCCCCTCCCCAAACCAGTGATGCCGCTGCCCAGGCTGCTCCCGCCTCTGCCTCCGCCTCGCCCTCGGGAACCCGACCCCTCTTCGCCCCTGCCCCGCGCCACACAGAAAAGGAAGAACGCGACCTCACCATCAAATTCAACCGTCTTCTCGACCGAGGAATTATCCGGGACAACAGCTACCAGGACGCTGCCGAGGCTGTCGAGGTGCGTCCTCTTTCTACCCGGGTGTGCTCTTGCTGACACGAGAGACGCAAGACTCTGATCAAGATATCTACCAATATCCTCAATAGCGATGACCCCAAGTTCCGCCAGATCAAGGCTTCCAACGGTATGCTCCAGAAAAAAGTGCTCGCTGTCAAAGGCGGGCACGACTATCTCATCGCTGTGCGCCCTCTTTCACTCCCTCCCTCTTTCTTGCCGCACGTCTAACGAGGAAATGGTAGCTCGGGTTCCGTACCCAGACAGCAGACTTTACCAAGACGTACATGTTCCAAAAATCTCTTCGAAGCGTACACGAGCTGGAGATCGGGACTCGAATCCTGCAAGATCACGTACGTTCCCGCCCCTATCCCTCCCTCCCCCCTCCC